CAATTTTATTCCCCTGTGTTCAGAAGTTTCACCTATCAGGCACTATTACATGTCCAAAGCTACAACTGCTCTGTCTGAAAAACAGATCTATCATAGCTTTACTATTTGAGTTGCATAAATCGCGAAAATCTTGGTAAAAAAGTTTTAAGCTAACTATCATTAGGATTGCTGAATGAAATCTACAAAAAATGAACAAAAAGAACTATTTTTTTTTCGTAAACCTACTTTTTAGGACTTTTGGAAGTGAAAATCTTCATTGGTTTGATTTTTTTACTCTTTGATGTGCAAATATTTCAATCTATGTCTCCAAATTGACTTTAAAATAAATTCAATTTCTAAATCGTTTTGAAAAAAAATATTGTGTTTTGAATAGCTCGTATAAATGCAATTTTTTTCCTTGAGCTTATCTTTTGTTTCTTTAAAACAAGTTACCGACCGATATCTTCGTTTCCTTAAGAAATGTCTCAGAATTTGAATTTAATTTCTTCCGAAGTTTTTGTTCCGAATTTTTAATTGCACTGCCGTACAATACGACCCCATATTGCAGTTTTTGCTGAATGCGACTAAAATGAGGTTTAATTAGTTGTCCTGTTGTTTGCACGTCTTGCAACCGGTAAAGCCATCCAAAAAAATATTCTTTTTTTGAAAAGATAATCAAAATGAGTAGTGAAATCTAAATTTGCGTTCGTTTCAAAGTCCAATTGTTTAATAAAGAGTTTTTTTTCAACATCATTTCCAAATTTTTTGTTTTTTCTTTTGCTTTTTTTTTAAATTAGGTTGATGTTTTTGTTTCGTAAATGATCAGAGTTGGCTGAATGGAATTCAGCAGATTTCTTGCTTTTGATGAACCTTATTGTTTTGATGCAGATTTTGTTCTTTTTGCTTCAAAGTTGTTTCATTAACGTAAAGAAAAGAGTTCACTGAATTTTTAATCATTGGAAAATCATTTATTTTTAAAGTGTACAGTAGTGTTCCAAGGGCTAATCCTACAGTGAAAAAGTTTCAATTTTGACATTTTGGCGCCTATTTTGGACACCCCAATGGTCAGTTTTCAACTTTGATTTTTAAGCGCCTTTTTAGACTATTTGCGATTTATTTACTAAGTATGATTTCAAGAATGCATAGATGGTAGTCCGCAGTTTTTAGCTTTTTGTAAAAATGTTTCATGTGCAGCAGCATCCATTGCTTTTTAAAAATCTTTGCAAGATGCATGTTTCACATTGGTGTTCAATTCCCTAACATTTTCGATGACTTCAATGAAGATTTCTGAAAATCTCTCGTTGGATATTTAGTTCTGATACCAATTTTTTAAAATTGAAACATCGTGTTTATCTAAGAAATGAATTTTGCGTCTGTGGATTAGCTTTTTGAAACTTTTGCTGAGAAGTTGTAAAAAAGATCTTGGTCTAAAATAAACTGGCTGTTTTGTGGTCCCACTTTTATTTATTCGTAGTATGTTTGCCGATTAAAATAAAGTAGAGGAACGTTTTGTATGAATGAATACCATTTTCATTGTTTTTATGACAAAAATTTTCAACCAAAAAAATCACCACCGTAATTTGTATGGAAGATACAAAAATATATGGCAATTTTTTTTCTCGTTTTAAGAAAAACAAATTAGTGCAAATCGTTTCAGAAAAATTCTTTGATATAATTTAGTTTTCTGGGCTAATTAACGTCTTTAAATATCAAAAATATATCAAAGTTTTCATGTTTTTCTCGTCTTGGATTAAGAACTTTTTTGGTTCAATTTCTAATTCTGTCGAAGTATTGAAAAAAAAATCCTGTGTTTTGTTTAGCATCTCTTCCTAATTTGTGCTGGGAAGAATGTTTTTTTTTCTAGCTGACAAATTTCGTTTAATAACGTTTTTTTCACGAACTATAACAATTTGCATACTCTCTGTTTTTTTTGTAGTCAGATTATAAATTTCATTAACTATTCAATTTTTTTGTTTTCGAATGCCTCTAATTTTAGTCGTGACGATATGACGCACGTATTTTGGAAATTAGCTGATGAAAAAAATGATAAGACTCATAATACTATGATTTCCCCAATTCTTTGACGTGCTTCTGTAACTCATGAGGTGTTTTATAAATCTTTTTTTTCATGATCATTGCTGTCTTTTTGTGTTTCGAACTTTGATTGATTTTTTGCCAGTGTCATTTTATCTGCAAACATACTGCTATTTTTTTCAGGCCAGTAATTAACGTTGAATGGTCTGTAACTAATGTTTTTGACGTCTTAACGTATGTAGCAAAATCTAAGTACCCCATATTTATGCAACTTTTCGACTGGATTGGTTGGCGGGTTGTTACTTAGATTTTCTTTGAAAATTGAATGAGAACAATTTCGACAACATTCGCAAACATTTTTTTTGGGAGTTTCATACAGTTAGTATGGATGTTTCCGCAGAAAACATGAGTGTCATCGGTTCCTAAAGCGATTCAGTTAAGTAATTTTCTATGCTCTGTTTTAAATCAATTAATTGGAAGCATAAATTGTTTTTTTTTTCTAAAAATAACTCTGACAGTCAAAAACTGATATTAGTTTTCAGTAAAATCACGAAAGTGCTTAAAAGTTGCCATTTTGAAAAGTTTTGAATTTTCATCTAGCGGTCTCATGTTTTGTAAAACAAAAAAGTTTCAGATTATATTTTCGTAAAACACGCGCTTTTGACCATATTTGATATCTTGCTTACGTCTAAAGTAGTTCTGGAATAACGCTTTTCAAAACCTCAATCTGTTTCAATATCGTCTTTTTTTTTGTTACCGCTACAGTTTGACGTGAATTTTTTTTCTGAAAAAAGGAATTGTGAGAGAACAGCGGCTAGGAATTCTTGTTTTCCTTTTTGTTCTGTAATTACTTCATTTCATTTTTTTAAAGTTTCTCTGCGGATATTACAGAGAAATTTTGGCTGTTTTTTAATATGGATCTAAAAGTAACCCGTTTCTTAAGAATATCGTTTTTGTTGCAGCGTTTCAACTATAGTTTCTTTCGTAGTATTACGAAAGTTTGTATAACTTGAGCTAAGAGCTATCCAGAGGATATTGCAAGTTACTCGTTCAGTATTCACTGGTATGCATAACATCTTGCAATTTTTTGTTGATATCGCAAAGAAGACTATTGTTTTAAAAGAATGTTTTTTGAAACAAAAATTGCAAAATGAGTATGTGCCGTTTGGAGGCTTTGTGAGCATCGCAAAACCTCCTGCTTTGAAAATTCGATTTTGTGTTTTTTTCTAAGGCTCTCCGTGGATAATTAATGGTCTCTTTTTTTTGAGCCCGCTTATTTTGCAACTTAAACAAACTTTTTTGTTTCTCATTCAAAACTTAATCAGTTTCGTTCGTCTGCTTAGCTGAACCACCTTGCAAAAATTGCAAGATTGCGCTGTATGTAGGGGGTTCTAACTTACCGGATGCCGCAAAGTTGCCGCTCACGTTTTTTGAAGCATGAATTTTGAAAGTTTTTTGTTGCTGATTATGTTCGATAAAAATTAGAATGCTAATATACAATGAAAAAAATCTGAAAAAAGCAACATTGTTGAGAATAAACTAAAAGTTCCAACCAAAAAGAGTCTGTTCAGAAAAATTAAAATATTAGCCTGAAATTATTTTATTTTTTCGAATAAAACTAAGATCACCCTGTTTGTTACAATTGTCCAAATGCTCTCGTAATGCTGAACTGAGCATAGTCAATTTAACAAGAAAAAGTTATGCAGTCAAGATTTCATCCAATTTTATCGCTGGGAAGTTTGTGTTTAGTGTTTTTGGGTTTCAATCTGTCAGTAGTCTTCTCTTCTTTTTCCTCAGTGATTTTCTGTTTTTTTTTCAAGTGAGAAGCACACTATCCTGAAAATGTGGTATCGCTCTCGCGCTCCCATTTGTGGTTTTATTTTTCCTTTTATGCAATGGCGTACCTTCAAAAGCTCAACAGTTTTGTTCGCCGGAACAAATCTTGTTGTACTGTTGCTTTCTGAGACGAGAACAGATATCAAACAGTTCTTTGTCAATGAAATGAACCCTTTTCTGGTATCTATCTTGATTTCTTCTTCGTATTTTTCATTGATTAACATACATTTAACGTTCAACTCATTTCTATTTTTCAAAAAAATTTTCACCGAGCAAAAACTTTTCTTTGACGGCTGAATATAAAGTATCATTGAAAACTGGCATGCCCTAAAACTGGCAGGCCCTAATTCGGTGAAACCCAATTCGGTGAAAACTGGCAGGCCCTAATTCGATCAGCTGAATAATCAATACCCAAACAAACCTTGAAGAATCGCAATGTTTATCGTACTACACTTTGACACCTCAATGCGTCAAATGGAGGATTACAGATCACTATGAACTATGTTTTGCTATATCTTACTTGTCTTTAATGGCTTTATTGTTTCTTTTTGCTTTGTTCCAAATTTTAGTTTGCAATTTTTTTTGGCTCATCTCTGAATCCACTGTTATACTTCCTTTACCGTTTTTGGTGTTGATTCAGATCCATGATTTTCAATTAGAAATAATTTGTGATATGAAAAATCCGAGAATCGAACACTGTTTTGAATAACAGCCTTTGGTGCAAAAGATCTCAAACATTCATCGAAATTAAGGTAAAGTGTCCATGGGTCAATTGTAGTTGGCTATTAAGTTTTCGCTGGCGTATCTGCTAGACAATAATTTTGTTCAATATTTCTACCTTTTTTTAAGCAAAACAATCCTGCTGTTATAATCGTAATTGTTTATTTTTTCCCAGAGTTATAAGGGAAATAGGTCACGGCGTAAATTTACGTGCTTTGTAAATTGAGGAATTTCTTTTTAACTTGACAAATAAATTTTTTTGTAATTCTTTAACTCTAGAAAATCACTGTTCGTTTCTGCTTGAAACCCAACTGCTTGAAACCCAAGTGTGGATTTTTTTTGGTTTTGATCATTGAGGCAAGTTTACTGCAACAGTTAAATTTGAACTAAATAGTTAATTTATAAAAGAAAACATATATTACAATTTCTGCAATTTTCACAGACGAATTGAGATAAATTTTCCCTCGTGGAAAAACCCAATGAGTATTCTAACTCCTGTCAAAATTGTGCAGGTGCAAACTAGAACCACTAAGAAAATTACATTTTCCCAGGCATTAAACGAACTCTTCGAAAGAACTGTGCATGATAAGGTTGAAGCGACTGCCAAATACGGTAACACTACAAATCGGGTCACGCTCTCGACCAATAGGATGTCGATTACAAAGTAGCAGACGATAGCCAATGAGAGTGCAGCTAACAATACTGTTGTTGAAAATGCCGAAGCAAAGCCGAAAAAACTGTCGGTTAGAATACTGTGAAGTGTGAACAAAGTTTCCATTAGAAGTAACGAAATTAGGCCACCGAGACCATTTTGTGTGACTACTTTGACCAGCCAAAACGCAGTGTTGAAATTATGCTTCAAAACGTTTTTCTGACGCTGTAATTTAAAGCCGACTGCCAAGTAGGCCGAAGTGAAGCCAAAAAGAGCCATAGTTACTGCCCATAGTTTGCCATAGAGTTGATTCGCATCCATGAGTTCCATGGAAAGAGCCAAAAACGAAACTCCGAACAAAAATTCGATTGCAACTAGTGATCCAGTTACTGGTGGGAAAAAGTAAATATATTTTTGGCATATATTCAAGTCGTATAAGAATACCCACAGAATCCATACTAGGTTCCAGATGTACATGATGACGTAGACTATGTAGCTGGGGTAACTGGGTTGCAAACTGGTGTCGTAATTTTGGTAAGATCGTTCGAATGTCGACTTGAACAGATAATCCCCTGAAACGAAGATCAAAACTGCCATTTAAAAAGTTAACATTTCCTTATATTCTTAATATTTGGATTAATTAACTACAGAGATGGGTATTTGTTTTTTGCTAAGTACAATAGTGTAATTATAGTGGTAAGTAAATTGTTGTTAAAATCAATACGCCGTCAAAGTTTGACAGTCTTTTTTTCGCCTATTATTTTTTTATTGAATATTGCTAATCATGATTTGGAATCAAACTAAGTAGCAAATAGAATAGTTAAAAATGATAGATGTTACAATCAATTAAGCTAATCAGTAAATTAATCGCAAATCAACTTACTGAGTGGAAAACTGCCGATAACGAATGCTGCCGTGAACATTCCGAAGCAGACATAAAGTGTGAACAGAAGACAGGAGACTGTTTTGCTCAGCCACGATCTTCTTCTGTTCATCAGGAGCATCGGCTGAGTGGCTGCTGCGGCTGCCACCTCTGATCTCCCCATTGCACTGGGGTGCGCTCGGAAGCGTCCGTTGACACTGGACCCATTGCTCAGTTGGTAGCTGAAACGGAACAACGTTCACCGTTAAATAAAACCGCTCAAAGCTGTTTGAATTGTACCATAAAACTTCTTAGAAATCGATAAAAACGACTGCATCCACTGGTAGCAATATTTTAATCAGGGGCGGCTTTAGGGGATTGGGGGGGGGGGGGGGGGAGGAGGTGGTGTGGCGCCCCCTGCCGACCCAAAGGGTCCCCCCTTTGTACTATTTTGAAATATCCATTTTTGGCGAAGGACCCTAAAATTTTTCTAAAGGCGCCTTTGGCTTCAATATATATTAATTTTGAGGTGGGAACGCGCGCCAAAAAAACGTGATTTTTTTTTGGTCAAAATTTCCCAAAAGTTGCTTAAAAACGCCGTTTTTCAAAATTTTGCCTGCCGCACACCAAAATTTGGTCAAAATAGGGTCTTTATAGCGACTTAGGAGTGCTCAGAAAATCATTTGGTCGACCTAAAAAAAGGACGACAAATTTTTCGATTTTTTTTTTTGAAAATCCGCCCCCTCCTCGAAAAAATCCTAGATCCGCCTCTGGCTTCCATCATAGTGTGACTTTATCCTTTTAAACTTCTTCAATCCACTCTTTGGAATTTGAGTTCTGTGCGCCAATTGCAATTTTGCTTTTTCGACAGTCGCCTTATTTTTTAATCGCGAAAAAAAAATGAATAGCAAAAACTTGGTTGCACTGATCACGACGCTGTAGGTTGAGTCACGTAGTTTTTGTGGCGCTTCCTTCCTTTCTTCAGGGATTCGAACCCTTGCCGACCCAAAGAGTTCCCCCTTTGTACTATTTTTGGCGATGGACCCTAAAAGTTTTGTAAAGGCGCCTTTGGCGCCAATATTAACTAATTACAGGGTCTTTTTAGTGCTCTGGGAGAGCTCGCAATTTGGTCAACCTAAAAAGGTCGACAAAAGGCACAGGCACACAAAATTTGGTCAAAATAGGGGGGTCTTCATAGTGCTTTAGGACAGCTCAGAAAATCAATTTGATCGACCTATATTAACTAATTACAGGGTCTTTTTAGTCTTTTTAATGCTCTGGAAGAGCTCGCAATTTGGTCAACACCCCCCCCCCCCCCCTCTCACAATAAAATATTAGAACCGCCCCTGGTTCTATTTGTTCTATTTTTATTTGTAACCATGTTTAAGTATTTAGCTAATAAAGATATTGTTCTGAATAGTTTTTATCAAAAAAATATATAGTTTAACAATTTTGATTTAGAAAAAAAAGTTACCTGAAAACATATTCAAAAAAGTAAAACAAGGAATTTTTGAACACAAAAAAGTTTAAGTTTTGTGTTCTCTTGATTTCAGCTGTTTAAACACTCACTGGTATCTGGGGTTGGCAGCAGCTGGGTATCGAGGTCTGCTAGTGGAGTTGTTCCGCGCAAACCTCATCTCACTTGCTTCCTTGCATCTACAAATTCACCATCACGATATAGGTATTTTTTTTGATATGCACTTTTGTGCACAACAACAACGATAGGTATTTTTTTATTCCTTTTTGATATGCAAGATAAAATTAAGTAACAACTTTTTTAATCGTTGTTATAGGCAAGCTATAATTTCTGCAATAAAATCAAAACAATCACTTGAATAACTTTTTGGTCTTAAATCATGTTCAGTGATTTGGAGACTAAATCTCTGCGTTTCACTGAGACGTAGGAGATTTAAACCATCCAATACGCAGCTGCGACGCACCTGAGCAAAACGTGAATAATTTTACTAGAAATGGCAGTATTCAAAAACATAACTTCGCTTCTTTTTGCGATCATTTTGATCTGCACGGTATTTAAAACTCAATTGGTATACGCGCCTGAATGAACAAAAATAGTTTCAAGTGTTCAGTTTTTAAAAATTTTATTGTTCTGGTTCTCGTGAGCAAAACTTGCCAAATCTCAGTTGCTTGTCAAGTTTGTACATTTTTATGTTTTCACATGTTAATTCAAGAGGTTCGATGGACTTACTAAGAGCTGCATGTTTTCTAGAGATTAATTTGACCAGTGACCATTTAGTTTTTTTTGACAGAAGTCTTCAACTCTGTGACATGAGAGTGACACTAGCAACTTCACTGCTGTGACCTTCGGTTTCCTCTGAGCTGTGAATTTGGCTAAAAACAACAGAAAGGGGCTACTACGCTCACTCACGCTCAAAAGACCGAATGCTCGACTAACCCCATTCACCCTTCTATCAACTTATAAAACTGACTGAAATTCACAATTAGTTATCTAAAGTTTTTCAGCAATGAACTCCGATTGGCTGACATAGCTTTCAGACATGAAGAAACAACAGAAGAATATCAAGTCAATTGCATAATAACCAAATTATGTCGGAGGACATAATTTTTGTTTCCAGGGTTGAAGCATTTGACCTAAGTTGCGACTTTTGAAATGTAGCGGAACGGTTATTCATATAAAAAATATTGCATCCAGTATCGTGTTTTCCTCTTTTGCAATAGAACTGAAGCAGTAAAACAGATTCATTTGACGTCTGAAATAGCTCATCCAGATCATATAATCTAATCGATATTCTAAACTTTTTAAAACGGCGTTCAAAAAACAATATTTCCAACAAGACTGCTCGTATCAGGGCGAAGCCCTGAATGTTCCGACTGCCTTTTAAGGTTTATGGAGCAGTAATAACATTTAAAAATTCAATGAAATAAAACATTCCCCCCACACGCCATATAAAGTACAAAAGGATAGATTTTGCTCCTTGTAACAAACCAATTATGGCAAATAGGCTTCTTTTAATCAATTTGGAACGATTTCTAAGACGGATTAACTCTTCGCTTACGCGTTAATAACGCGAAATATATCGCGCGTTAATTGTCCCAAATTGGCCAAAATGGCAATCTTTAAACCCCCGTAACTTTACGAAAAATGATCACAGGTGAAATATCTTTTCAAATTTGAGCTCAGGACAACAATAGCTTTCGAATGATATAAAAAAATTCCGTCAAAAATGGCTAGTTAAGAAGTCGAAATTTGTCTGAAAAAAAAACCCACCCCGAGCACAAATATTCCGTTACTTTCGTATCGAAAGTCGGAACAATAACTTCCAATAACACTACTACTTAAACATTTGCCTCTTTGTTAGAATTGCCACACAAGAAAAATGTGAATTAATTACCTGCAACTTTTCATAATAGCTGTTTAATGTGAAGACGATATGATTTACATATTTCGGAATGCTAAGGGTAAAATTTTTCAATGCAGTTTAATGATTGTCTTAATAGTTTTGGTGAAGTGGCTTCGTTGTCCGGCTCGATAGAGAGTTCGTGGCTCAAAGAGCATCATAGAAAGTGCTTGAACGTTCTCATAGTAGATCTAAACAGCTGAAAACCTTAAATTTAATCAGACTGCCCAAGTTTTTGGCTTAATGAACTGCAGTAACTGACCATTTGAAACAGATCTGTCCCAGACTAGTTATCTAGAGGCCAATTGAGTTAGAAGATACCAGCGAACTAAGAAAAAGGGATAACAAAGGAGTGTGAGGGGTAATAAACCTTACCAATTTTTGAATATCTGAGAACATGGGACAAATACACACACACACACACACACACACACACACACACACACACACACACACACACACACACACACACACACACACACACACACACACACACACACACACACACACACACACACACACACACACACACACACACAACACACACACACACACGCACGCACGCACGCACACGCACACACACACACACACACACAAAGAGAGAGAGAGATCGAGAGTAGTTTGTGTTTCTTACAGAATCCTGACATTCAATATCATACTTCATCACGTATCGTTACAAAAAATTTGACATACAATGAAACCAAAAATCTGCTTCGCTGGATGGCTGGATATGATTGCTAACATTTTTTCGGTGTCCAGTGGAAGTCGTTTGATGAAGTTTTTGTTTATTTAAACGGTTTTTGACTTTGTCTGTTTCTGAAATTAACGAGAGCTTTTTAGCGGTGGTTTATTGTGTTAAATTGTACATGGTTGGCCTGTCCTTCACACAATCCTACTACTCCATATGGTCTAGGAAACGTATGGAGTAACCGCCCTAGGCACCATAGGCCTCGAGGTGTGAGTTATTCGAAAAGTTAGAGTAATTCTCCTAATTTTAGGTCCTCGGTGGGCTTTGAACTTTTTCATCTTTGGCTGAGTGGGGGAAGGTGTTTTCGTAGATGTCGTTTACTGGGCAAGGGCATGAGCTTGTTTCCATTGTATCGAGTTCGTAACAAATCGCGGCCTAAACAACCCAGGTACCGCGTTCAAAGTTGGTCGTCCAAGCAGAAAAGGATTGGATGTGAGAGTTCCAGAGTCTGCCAGGTCAACTTACACGTTTGTCAGGAAGTGAGAGTTCATGACAGCTTCTACTTTGCAGACGATGGAAGGTAGACAAAGTTGCGTTATTGAGTGTTTTTAACACAGATGCTTTTTAGAAGGATCCTTCACTATCTTTACCGATCTCTTCTAAAATTCTGCGTAGTGTGGTGCGGTGGGCGGCCTGATTTCCTAATTCAACCTAAGTATTTCTTTCTAGTTTTAAAATTACTTTGATTCCTGTTGTCGCTGAAGAAGATTCCCTATTCCGCTGTTAGTTCCGATGAAACACTTTTCCTTGTCTGATTGGATTTGACTAGGTTTTCCACGTCGGGCGATACAAGTGAACTAAGAAAATGGGACAGTGAAGGAGTGTGGGGGACAGTATACCTTACCAAAACTTGAGTATCTGAAATAAAATGAAAGAGACAGAAAAAGAGATTGAGATTTTTTTGTTGCGTTAAGTCGCTTCATTTCCAAGCCCGAACATGGATCGGTAAAGGCAATTTGACTTGCAAGGCATCAAAACAGGCTAATTTGCTAAATGGTTGGACCTGATTGCTAATGTGATTGATTTTGTCTTCTGAAAATTTTCAAAATTAAATATATTAGTTGGAGCAATATGATAGACTAAGCTACAGATTTCTTAAGCATGAAGTAAGTATGCGGCAAGTATCCTCCAAAGTTCGGTTATTTGTCCAAACGGCATTTTTTTCGCAATCGCAGAAAAAATGCATCAATTTTTTTGAGGTTGATAATTTTGAATTAAAATTCTGATGCTCGAAAAGCTATAAGAAACAATATTGATTGAAAAATATCCGCAGTTTGACAAAAGAGAAACGCGCGAAAATTTTTTTATATGCCAAATATGCTTTTTTTGCCCAAATTTCCGCGCCTTGATTTTTTTGCACATAAATTAGTATTCTTTTTTTTCGCTCCGACTTTCGATACGAAAGTAACAGAATATTTGTGCTCGGGGTGGGTTTTTTTTCTTCAGACAAAATTCGACTTTTTAATTAGCCTTTTTTTAACGGAATTTTTTTTATCATTCAAAAGGTATTGTTGCCCTGAGCTCAAATTTGAAAGATATTTCATTTGTGATTGTTTTTCGTTAAGTTATGGCGGTTTAAAGATTGTCATTTTGGCCAATTTGAGACAATTAACGCGCGATATACTTCGCGCTATTAACGCGTAAGCGGAGAGTTAATCCGCCTTAAAATCGTTCCAAAATGGTTGAAAGAAGCTTTTTTGCCATAAATGATTTGTTACAAGGAGTGAAATCTATCTTTTTCTATTTTATATGGCGTGTGGGGTATGATTTTCATAAAAAGTTTCAAATTTTAGAAAAAATTTTTTTTTCATTTTATTTTAATACGTTTAATTTTTTAATGTTATTACTGCTCCATAAAACCTTAAAAGGCAGTCGGAACATTCAGGGCTTCGCCCTGATACGAGCAGTCTTGTTGAATTTTTTGCAGAATGCATTGCAGACATCGGGCAGTTTTTCAGCTGTTTCTTTCAATGCTTGAGAATTCCACGCATTATTTGAGTTTCAATTTTTGCAAATATTGTCTTAAAACGTGAGTCAATTCTAAAAATTTTGATAAATATGGCCCTATACTGGAAACAATTTATTATTACTATTGTTCCGACTTTCGATACGAAAGTAACGGAATATTTGTGCTCGGGGTGGGTTTTTTTTTTCTTCAGACAAATTTCGACTTTTTAACTAGACATTTTTGACGGAATTTTTTTAATATCATTCGAAAGGTATTGTTGCCTTGAGCTTAAATTTGAAAAGATATTTCACCTGTTATCATTTTTGATAAAGTTACGGGGGTTTAAAGATTGTCATTTTGGCCAATTTGGGACAATTAACGCGCGATATATTTCGCGCTATTAACGCGTAAGCGGAGAGTTAATCCGTCCTAGAAATCGTTCCAAATTGGTTCAAGGAAGCTTATATGCCTAAATTGATTTGTTAATAGGAGCAAAATCTATCACTTAGTACTTATTATGATGTGTGGGGGGATGATTTGAAAAAAAAATCAGATTTAAAAAAAAAAATTTTAATTTTTTTTATTTACATTTAATTTTTTTAATGTTATTACTGCTCCATAAATCTTAAAAAGCAGTAGGAACATGCAGAGCTTCGCCCTGATACGAGCAGTCTTGTTTTGTTTATTTATGACAGATTTAAAACTTTTCACTCATAAAATTGGTTTCTTTCCCATGCTCGGTCTGGTTTTTTACTAAAGTTTTTGGAATAATTGTACTCGGTTCGGTTAATTTTTGTAATAGTGCTCGGACAACTTTTGACTTATAAATGACGAAAAATTTAGTAATGATCGAAAGAAAATAACCTGACGAAGAATAATTAAAATGACGAAGAATAATCTGAAAATTAGGGATTCCCTGAGCTCAAAAGTCATATTCTAGCGTAAGCGGCGAAGCAAAAAAAATATGTTGATT